TATTCAATCTGTTGTTATTGTTGTGTTTTTCATGCCGGGGGACTCTCATGCAGTAAGAAAATCAACAATCCGATGGAGCTGGGATGGCATTGTTATGTTCTGGTTACTATGGTATTCTTCTTGCTACGAACACACGAGCTCCAACAATTGTGTAGTGTGCCCATGTTGGTTTCACCTAAGATGGCATGCGCTATGTCTGGAAGTTTGTGGATGTTCTGAGTTGATGTGTTCTGTTTCGGGGGATGCCATCGTATTCTTGTACTACAACTGTACACTTGAGGACCGTGGAGCGGTTCTATGATGTCCCTCGAATCTCGGTGTTGTTTTTTAATCGTGACTACTAGGATGCCCTGGTGTACTGTGTCTTTGTGGTATGTTGGAAATGAGGGGGACATGGAGCTGTAATTTGCCGTGCATATGTCCTGCAACCAGCTGAGGAACCCTGACCTTTCATAGGCCAGTATAACTTTCTTGCATATCAGGGGGACTCGCTGATATATCACGCCTTTCCATATGCCCCATAACGAATGGGGGGCCCATGTGGCCGAAAGGCCTCGCACGCCTTTCATGCCATGCAGAAGAAGAAGAGAGAGAGAGAGAGAGAGAGAGAGAGAGAGAGAGACGAAGCACTAAAGCACAGCCACTTTAGCATTTTGCTCAGGACTCAAGTCCTTCCTCATCCCACCCCAGAAGCTGCAAAGACCTGGTAAGATTGCCGACGTCTCTCAGGATTCGACTGCCCCAGCACGCTGCGTTTGTGTTATGCTTCTAGGCGCGGAGAAACACATGTGTCCTGAACAGCGGGCATGCAACAGCTAGCATTGGGTTTCTTTGCAAATACATGCTCGCAGCCTGGGTTTGCAGGCGAATGCCACATTGCGTTCCTGTATGTGCCATTTTCCGAATGTCTAGCGTGATTGAATGAAGAGGCACGCCATGAACTTTTATTAGGCATGAAACGTCAAACTGCAGAAAGACTGAGTGATCCAAATCATCTCAGGCAAGTGCAGCAATGCAGCAGGATGCAGACAATGTATACTTCCGAGAGACCTCGTCTGGCGAGTCCGAGTTGCGAGTGTTTAAGACGGGTTGTTGAAGGCATGCGCGGCTCTGGGAAGACTTCCGTCTGCAGCGTCCTCCACGAGGCACAACCACTGCCACTACCCGTCCGCCCACCCCCTCCACTCTTTTGCATTTGCCCCTGGCGCTTCTCTTTCTTGGCAGTTCTCTGCAACCAGAAACCATTCTCACAGAGAGCCGCATTGACAGTTGCAAGCTGCATGCCGAGAGCTAGACGGCCGCCAGGGGTTGGAGCCATGTTTTGGAGATTCCATCCACTAAGGTGATAGGAGGCAGCCACATACACTACGATGGGATCAGCGCTTCCTCGACCAAAAAAGGCTCACGGAAGGCGTATGCACGCACCTTGGCGAGTTTCTGGTTCATTCGCCCTCTGGCGCAGGGTCTGGGGGGTAGCCGCTGAACAAAGCAGCGTTTTGAAATTCCACCCAGTTTCAAAGCCTTGGCATGCCCGAGCATGTATGACAGCTGTCGATGCCCTTGGGAAATTGAACGTAATTGAACGTATAAGTTCCCTCAACCTTTAAACCTCTCAACCCTTTGCCCAAAAAGTATTGGGGCACTTCCCAAATCCGAGCTCAAGGAGAGCTTCGGGCAGCCGGCGCACGCAGCCTGGCCGCCACACGTCGGAAGAAAAGCCGAAGACTCGGAGTTGGGGGTCTGATGGGTTTATGGTTATAATTAAATAATCGAGGTTTAGGCTTTATAGGCTTGTAAGCAGTAGGGGGAGGGAGGTGCGAGGACAGAAAGTCGGATTTTGAGACCCGTTTACTGCTTTCTGTGACTCTGGTGGCCGTATAGTACGTGAAAGTTAAGCAGAGTCTGATTTAGCAGAAGGGTGGCATTATTTTTGTTTATCAGGATGGTCGGCCCTCTTGCTTGATACTGGTGTTATTAAGTGCACAAATGCGCATTTTGACCCATGTTCCGCAAGAAACCCTGAACCCGAATTTTGCATGCCTACTTACTTGCAAGTACATGAAAGCACAAAAACAGCACAGCAGACTGTCCCACGCCTTGTCTTGCATACTGCCTTGATGCGCCAGGCGAAAATGCCGAGGCCCGCTTTGCATAGGCTGTGGGACACAAGCCCACCGGAGGGAGGAAGCTGCTCGAGTACACTGCGGGCTGGAAGTTTAGTACGTGCTGTTGTAGTTTCCGAGGTGATCCAGCACAGGGTTCAATTCTTTTGGGGTCGGTGACTTACTGGACCTTCAGCTCTTGATGGAGTGCTGTTGAAACCGTGGAGTTTTGGAGGCGCAGAGGCCCGTCGGAGATGGAGACAACCTTCTTCTCATCGACAGGTCGCATGGCTGGGCAGTATGTAGACAGGGTTTGTGAAGCGGCAGCAGAGTTGGCCTACGAGAGTGTTCTGCTAGTTGCAGCATCTCTGCCGAAAAGGCGCTAGCGTTGCACAGGAACTCCTGCTTAAATACATGCTCGCAGCTGGAACCCCGTCTGCTAATTACCGGCTCCTACCGTGATGTTTTTTAAAGGAAATGAAACAAACAGAGTCAACCTGTCAGACTGGCACCAGGAAGCTTATAGACACAGGAGCCTCAGACATGAATCATCTATAGCATTATGCGAGGATCCGCTTTTCCAACTGCAGACCCTGCCCTGCCGTTTTGACACTTCTCAATGCAGAACCGCTCTACCGTATTGAGACTTCTCAATGCAGAACTGCTTCAAATCTCCTTCGTGGTCACTGTTAGAAACGTCACCAGCAAGTCGCCTGCCTCTGCTTTCAGGACCAACATACTTCGCAGCCAGCGCATGGACGCCATCACAGAGCTCCAGCGGCTACGCTGGCAGAAGCGGGGCTGCCGGACGGAAGGGTGTGACCTGCGAGTTGTGTGCTTGGCACCGTCCTGGCCCGGCTGAGAACGCGTGACGCATGTTGTGTGCCTGGCACGTCCCATCACGCCCGCAAACCGCGGTCCTTAGCTGACCTTGGAGGACGATGCTGGTGGAATTCAGCCACCCCCATGATGAAATGGGCTATGGTCTTGAAGGCTTGAGCCTGAATCAATCGGACGAAAGCCCATTCGATTTTGACATGCCTCTGACAGTATCCAGCAGCTTGCTTTCTTGTGGAGCCTTAACTCCAATCCTTCGGAACTCGGCTAGGGCAGCTCTCCAAGCGCTACGGAGAGTCCCACATCGGATTGCTGCGTGGCTGCAAGAATCGACTGCTAACGATCATTGTGGTGCGTCCCTCGCATCTGCATGTCTGAGTTTCTGTTGCAGGTGCGCCGGGCGAATCGAGCAGCGTGGCTGCGCACACCATGCTCTGCAGCCCGGCTTGAAAGTCTTGTGCTCTTCTGGTTATAACAGATGCACAGCTTCCACAGCTTCAGGAAGCCTTCTGCCAGACTGCGGACGGTGCTACAAAAGGAGCCGCCAATTCGAAAGGTAGCCGGGTGACTTAGTTCCCACTCCTCGGTCACATGCCCTTGTCAGCTGCTATACACTATATGACTATGATGACCAGGCACATTGGTATTGCATGATGAGCACGGGCCACCGAAACCGACGATATCCTGAGCCGGAGCACTCTGCCTCTTTCAGGAGGCCAAAGCCATGGAGCCCATATTGCCTGACGAGCAGCGCCACTTTGACGGACAGATTTCCGTGGATGCGCCTCGGCTTGAAGTTTCCCAGACGGCGAGTGCCTTCCTGTTGAGCTCGCTGCCCACAAGCATGTTTTGTTCAATCCTTGAGGTGTCCGCGGCTCCTCCTGAGGTTGCCACAGAGATTGTCAAGGATCCGGGCCCCGGGGCCGTGTCGGGGTGTTTCATAGCAGGTGCCGTGCTTGATGCTAGGCAACACGTTTCTTTATTCGCTCGGGAAGCAAGTGCTCTCCGGAAGTACTCATCCCCAAGAAGACCTCTTCACCAGAAAGTGTAGAGGCAAGGGATGCCTGGCCCAGAGTGTCCAAATTCAGGGAAGCATAACTTAAGCACCAAGGAACTCCGAACTCGGGCCTTGCCTGATACCTCCACCTTATGGCTTTCCTTCCCGACCGTTCTCGCGAGTACCGCATCTTCGGCACATGCCATTCAAAGGCTTAGGAGCCAGTGCGAGGCAATCCGCGAGCGCGGTTGGCTCCCAACATTGGGCGACACCCCGGACTGGTCCGTCAAGGTGGACGGCATTAGACAAGCCAGGTCAGGGCAGGTCGATCAGCAGTGCGCTTTTCGTAAGAAAAGGGAGAGGGAAAGGCAGGATAATTACAGAAGAATGGGCCCCAAAACACTTTTCTAATTATTGAGGCCCCTATATTACCCTTATGGATCCCTTATAGTCCCCTTTTAAAGGAACCCTATTCTAACCATTAAGGCCCCTATATTATTAGCCCTACAGGCTGAGCTGGCCTGGCAACTCTGCGCCCGTGCAGAGGCGGCACAGAGGATGTTGGCTTTGGGATTGTCGGGTTGAGGTTCAAAAATGGAAGTTTCCGAAGATTAGGGGTTCCTTGTACCTTGTTTTGGGGTCCTTATAATAAGGAGCCTACTATTTAGGCTATTATGTTAGGGCCCCTATTTTCGGAAACTCCCTTATGGTGTCCGACAGCGTAAGGGCGAGCGTGGGGGATGTGAGGCCGGGCTTGAAGGTTGAGTTCCAAGTTTAGGGAACAGTCAGAGAAGTTTCACCTTTTTGTAAGTTGTTCCGGGCCGTAGAAGCAGTCGAATGGCGTGGCCGGGCTCGAGATGCTGTGCGATTCTTCGCATCACTATGCCTTCGACCTAGTTCGGAATAGGTGCAGTTCTGGGAAAGGTAAGGCATCGAACCACGGAAAAGCTGTTGGGGACCACGTGCCGGTCCTGTGCTCATGCGATGGAGCAAGTCATTATGTCGTTGTGTGCCTATGGGTGGGATGGCACACACTCAATGCTCACCGAATAGGGCACGACCCCATGATAACGACTCCTCCGTTCCGACAGGAAAGATGGCGCTTGGGTTCGGACACCGAGCGGGGCACATGGTTGGCACAGTGCCGGCAGGCGAGGGCGGCGCTTGGAAAGCTGAGACACTTCAATTTCCGAGCAGACTGGACTTTGCGCGTGCATACGGCCCAGAGCCTGTTGACATGGGTGCCTCGTGGGGCGTGTACTTAGAAACACAGCTCGAAACTGGTTCAAGGTGCGGCGAGAGTGTACCAGGTCTCAATCCATGAATTTCTGCATTTTCCCCTCACTACGAGGCCCAGGCAGCGGAGAAAGCTGTGGCCCAGGCGCGCCGGCGTGGCCATGAGTGAGAGCAGCCGACCCCACCCGTATACTGGATTTCTTACATCACCCGCGCAAGCCTGAACAAAGATGCCAGAGTTGACCTTCCCTGTCTGAACCTTGCAGCAAGAAGCACTGCCATTTGGGATGAGAATCGCTCAGCATCCTTCTGCGATGGTCGGCTACGCATATGTTCTCGGATGCATCCCACGATGCAGCCTGTTAGGCACTGTTGCTTGCATCAAGCCTTTCGCCGACCCCCTCAAAAGTGGCACCATAGACGCTATCATTTTGCTGGCCTCCGTGAATTTTCTGAGCTGCGGACGTCATCACTAGAAATCCCCCAACCTTAAAGTTAACCCCAAACTCCCAAACCTACACCAAAAAGGCTCTCACAGAACAAAAACATAAAAAACAAACTCTAAGCCTATGGCTTGAAAAGCCAAGACTTCGATCCGAAGATTCGTGGAGTCTCGAGGCCGAGGCTCTCCGGGAGCGCGTGGCCAAGCGAGCGCAGCTGCAGGATTTTCCCGGTTCCGGTTGATGATATACATCCTGCATTACCCATCATATATATGTATATGTATGTATATATATATATATATATGGGAATTATATATGGTATATTCCTTATTCTGGGTCATGCAGGATTTATATCATGAACAGTTCTCTCCTGGAGAGAAACGGACGAGTGTGAAGAGGTTTTGGGCATAGGCCGTGCCTTTAAATTTGTTCTTTATTGACTGAGAGAACATGAGGCTTGTAGGAGTCTACAGGCCACTTGAGCTACCAGGCGCTCAGGCTTGAGGAATTTGTGCCTGCTATCCTTTACCTACTCTGAAGGAACATAGCCATCCATGGCACTGTTTGACTCGATGTCCCAGGCAATGATGCTCAGTGAGGTTGCTGAGCTGGTGTGTTGGTGCTTTCTGCAACTGACGCAGACCATCAGCGGCAGGAGAAGGAGCCTTTCTGGATGTTTGAGCTTCCAGAGGCAAAAACACCGGCGGCACAGGATTCTGGATTCAGCAAATCGAGTGGGAGGGCTTTGAGTCTCAGTCGTGGTGCAGGATAGTCAGGCATGCATGGCAGCTAAGCAAGCGACCTTCGTTAAAGACACTCTGACTCTGATCTGGTCTATGTAATCTACAGAGGGTTTTCCACGTTCCGGCCGGCACTGAAGCGGCAGCAGGCCTGAACGGTCAACTTGCCTCGTGCAGGTTCGCCAGGTTCTCGAGAACGGCTCGATTCTTCCGCCGAACTTCTCACCGGCTGAGGTTGGGCATGGGGGTTAGGGCGGCGGGCCCACTGGCAGAACTAGTGGTTTTAGGAACAGTACCAGGCGGACGAGTCAGCAGTGACCATATTCGTGGCTGCTGATAGTGGGAGTCCCAAGTTCTGGCCTGTATGGTGCTATCTGTTAGCTGAACTTAAGCTTGCTATTCAGCAATACTAGAAGTGTTAGTGCTCGTGTTAGGAGGAGGAGGAGGAGGAGGAGGAGGAGGAGGAGGAGGAGGAGGAGGAGGAGGAGGAGGGGGAGGAGGAAGTCGTCGCTAGAAAAGTTGATGCAAACTTGCACTGCCGCCTACTGGTTGCACAAAATCATCAAAGCAGTATTTAGGCAGGTTCATGGGCAAAGACAGCAGCAGTTACCATGTGGTATTTCATGGTAGTTTGTGTGTGTGTAGCTTGTTCTGTCCATATTATCTGGTTCTATCAACACATACATAATTATACGAGAGTCTGAGATCGAGCACAGTTGTATAAAGGTTTTTGGGGTCCGTAGCTCATTTAACCAGCTCAGCCAGTATTTAATGAAGCAATCAGTTTAAGCTGCAGTTGGGCTTAACCGACACGAGCGAGATGAAGGGTGAAGAAGAGGAGACAGAAACATCCGCCGGCAGACTACCTATGTACGGCTTCTGCAGCTTCCCTCCGACGGGGATGTGGCGAGGGCTGCCGAGGCCCGGATGTCGCTCTTTGGCCATGTCAAGCAAGATGCAGAGGATGGAGATATGAAGAAGAGGAAGAAGAACAAGAGGAGGGTCATGATGACGGCGATCGTTTTAATGGTGCTGGTGTGTGCTGGTGCTGTTGCTGCTGCTGCCGCTGCTGGTGTTGCTGCTGTTCCTGCTGTTGTTGTTGGTGGTGGCGGTGGTGGTGGCGGCGGGTGTAGCCGCCGGTACTG